AGGCAAACAAATTTCCTCCAAAAAATTGTCAGGGCAATTAAAAAAAAAATAAAAAATTATATAAACAGTACAACGTCGAGTTAAAGCAATTCAATTCATGATTATTGATTTAAAGCGACACCCACAATTAAGGATAATGCTTTAATTTAAAGCGAATCATTCCTATTTTGCGCGAGTCAATCTGGCGCATCATATTTAAAATTTTGCGCCAAATGTTTCTTTGGGCACGCTATACTGTCCTAAGGGCAAAGCTGTACTGTACATGTACTCAAAATAATATACTAAATGATTACTAAAATTTTGTCTACAAACTATAGCATGTTTATATTCAAATTAAATTCCAGCAATGTAAATAATATTCTCTCTGGTCACTTCTGTGACATTTTATAAGCAAAAAACAAACTCAAGCTAAAGGACATAGATAAACAAATAAATACGTCACTAGACCTTCGGCGCCAACTGTCAAACATGTCACTGTCACTCCCCTCCCCTCCCCTCCCCTCCCCCCTATCTTCCCAGCCAGGGTTTGATGTTTTAGGCATAAATTTTATCTTATATAATATCACAGACTAAAGTGAGGAGAATATAATTTGTATTGCACGAATCCTTGCAAGACAGCGAATAATTTGAATATAAATGTCATATATTTTGCAGGAGATAAAAATTTTTGCTCTCTGTAATAAAATACTTAAATTAGAACTAAAATTTGTATGTCTAATGCAAGCTATAGCAAGTTTATATTCAAATTAATCACTATCTTATAAGAATTCCAGCATGTTAATTATATTCTCCCATGTCAGTTCAGTGACATTTTATAAGAGAAAAACTTAAAGTCATTCTTACAGACAGATAAGCACTAGACCTTGGCATCAGCTGTCAAACATATCACCTCACCTCCCCCCCCACCCAATCTTCCCAGCCAGTAAACAGACCATTTTGCATCCCTTAATTTTAGCTGTGTTGATTTATGAATGTTTGTTTTAACATAATACTACAAAAAAAAACAATGAGTAGTTTAGTCTAGGAGTTGGGCTGAGGTGCATCTGGGTAGACTCTCAATCTTTTTAGTATTTTGTGTTTCTCTCAAGTACCAAACTAAATTATTCCATTGAAATAACATTTCGATTTAGTGCAAATTTGGTATAAAGCAACCTCTCTTGGAACGTATCTCGTGTTATATCGATGTTCTACTGTGTGTGTGTGTGTGTGTGTGTATATACACCTAGACCCCGACTTACAACTACGTGGACTTACGACCGCCTCAGATATAGATTAAAAAAAAAATTTTTAAATGACACGCATTTTCTATACCGAAACGTTTCCAGTTAATGTAGTCTCCATGTATAATTAGAAAATTATGGGGGCCCCATGTGCATTCAGCTGACTACATTAAAGGTTAAGTGCTCAGTCACACTGTATCCATTCCTTATTATTTATTACTTTCACTGTACTGTATCCATTCATCATTATTCATTACTTTTACTGTACTGTATTTCATTGTAGATTTTTTATCTATGTCGGACTTACGACCATGTCGGACTTACGACCTGGATTTGGGTCCCTAACCCCGTCGTAAGTCGGGGCCTAGGTGTATGCTGATAACCACAAGGAAAGAAGAAAACATGAAGTTCCCAAGCGCTTTCGTGTATATATAATATATATATATATATATATATACTAATATATATATATATATATATATATATATATATATATATATATATATATATATATATATATATATATATATATATATATATATATATATATATATATATATATATATATATATATATATATATATATATATATACACAGTATTACCCCGCCTAACGCGGTTTCACTTAACGCGTTTTATCATATATGCGGTGCCTCGCCAGAGCTGAACTTTCACTTAACACGGATTTTTTCCACATATACGCGGTGAGTGTCCGGCTCGAGACGAGACGCTATTTTTAGATTTGCCCCACCCGCCACCCAGCCTGACTGCCTGTTTTAGCTCATAAAATTCATACAAATTACCCGGCCAGAATATAATTTACATTGCTGGAATTCTTATAATTTGGTGATCATTTTGAATATAAACATCATATATTTTGCATTAGACATACAAATTTTAGATAAAAAATTTTCTCAGAGTAACTATGTTATCTTTTGTGCAAAATATGACATTTATATTCAAAATATTCCTGGTCTTACAAGGAATCCAGCAATGTCAATTATATTATCCTAACTTTAGTTTGAGGTATTATTTATTAAAATTTAGTGGTTATCCCACACATCTCCTTGGGACGGTTGGTGGGGGGTGGGGGGGAGGGAGGGACCGACGGACCATCTGTTACCCCGTGAAGAATTATTATTTTTTTTTATTAACTGAAGATATTTGTTTTAGCTCATAAAATTCATACAAATTACCCGGTCTGAATATAATTTACATTGCTGGAATTCTTATAATTTGATGATCATTTTGAATATAAACATCATATATTTTGCATTAGACATACAAATTTTAGATAAAAAATTTTCTCAAATTAACTATGTTATCTTTTGTGCAAAATATATGACATTTATATTCAAAATATTCCTGGTCTTACAAGAAATCCAGCAATGTCAATTATATTATTCTAACTTTAATCTGAGGTATTATTTAATACTAAATGTTAAAAAGTCTGGAAGGGAGGATTGGTGGGGGGTGGGTTGGGACTGACCGCGTGGTTGGAAGAGGGGGGGGAGGCAAGGTGGGGTACTTTGATTGACAGATAGTGTCGTGAAGATTATTTTTTTTTTTATTAACTGAAGATATTTGTTTTAGCTCATAAAATTCATACAAATTACCCGGTCAGAATATAATTTACATTGCTGGAATTCTTATAATTTGGTGATCATTTTGAATATAAACATCATATATTTTGCATTAAACATACAAATTTTAGATAAAAAATTTTTCTCTAGGTAACTATGTTATCTTTTGTGCAAAATATATGACATTTATATTCAAAATATTCCTGGTCTTACAAGGAATCCAGCAATGTCAATTGTATTATCCTAACTTTAGTTTGAGGTATTATTTATTAAAATTTAGTGGTTTTCCCCCAAAAATTTCTCTGAGAGGGAAGAGCCGGCAGTGTAGTGTGAGGGGGGGAGGGAGTTGAGTCCATTATTTGAATGGACATTAACTTGGCGACTGTATTTCTCTATTTCTCTTAAGTATTAATTGTGTGCATGTACCATCATAAAATTAAGATGTTATTTTTACTACAACATAGGTATGTGCCTTCAAAAAGTGGAGTTTGGGGGTCGGGCCAGTTTCTATTGGAATTAATCCCATATGTTCTGTTGTTCACTTAACGCGGATTTCACTTAGCGGGACCCTCTGGGTTCAATTGACCGCGTTAAGTGGGGTACAACTGTGTGTGTATATATATATATATATATATATATATATATATATATATATATATATATATATATATATATATATATATATATATATATATATATATATATATATATATATATATATATATATATATATATATATATATATATATATATATATATATATATATATATATATATATATATATATATTAATTAGTGATTTAAGGGCAATTTAGGGGATTTTTAGGAGTGTTTCTGACTTTGTGCATTTTTTGTCTTTACTTTGTATGTACTTTTCCTGTGAGTTGGAACCAATTACCCAATAACCCATTGAAATAGATTCAGTTAACAAACGACTCTGTGGAACCAATTGTGTTCGTTAATTGAGGGACCACTGTATAGTCAAGATTTGAAAATTCTGCAAACTTGTTGAGAACAATATAGTCAACCCTCCTGTCACTGCCACACAACCAAGTATTAATCCTTAGACTGTGGTTATGGAAAAGCCTGATTACTGCTGTGTGCAATATACAGTATACAAAGAATAAATAAAAACTGGTAAAAATAAGTTATCTTATAGACATGCTAATAGAAGAGTTAAAATATAAATCACACACTTAAATTTTTTTTTCATCCATATTGAGTGTGTAAATCAGCCTATGAGGACCGAGCTACTAGGGGTGGAGGATAAAGGAGGAACTAAAAGGTGGCAAGGGGCAGACTACCTCGAACTGCCACTAACAGCAGGTAACATGAGGTCTACAGGGACACACGATGTGGCATGCAATTACTGGCTGTTCTCATATGAGGGATATAAGAGTTGTGTAAGAGGACTCATATGAGACGCAGTTTAAAGGTTAACCAAATTTAAGCAATGTTTGGCTTTTCAGTCTCGGTTCCAATAAGAGAGAGAAAAAGTATGCGATAAGCAAATCAGTACAATCTGATCATCACTTTCAAGGCAAATGAAGCTGAAACTTGATGAAAACTTAAAACAGATAAAAACAAGTTACTCTCCTCATAAGTCCTCCATTAACCAGCATAATCAAGCTACAGTATCTACATTTTTGGTCAGAATACTTATAAGGTACGAGGCTGAAATTTCTTTTCTTTTGGGGAATTATTACATGCTTTACATGACACCAAACAAGTCTCAAGTAAAACTGGGCAGCAGACGAGAACTTTGAACAGAATTCATGGCGAATTATACTTAAGTTTGAGTATTTCACATGCCCAGTAACTCTTAACACCACTTAGTTTACTTTATAAAATGAAGTGTTAACCTACTTGTTGATGTCACATGAAAAAAAAAACTATATTTAACTAACCATCAAGCTATGTTATGTTGTGCCTAAGCTAAACCTGGCAAAATTAATCTGGGATGGACAGTATCATTATTTTGAGTTAACTTTTTTCCCTTTGTTACATACTTTTCTCACTATAGTGTAAGGTGGCTGGAATCAAGGGTAACTAAGACCATCCCTTCATTCACTAGCATTTGCACTCAGTCTGCTTTACTTGAAATATTTGTCTATGGTATTCCCTTTTGCATTAATATCTTTCATAAAGGCTATATACACCCAGCAGCTGTTAGGCAAATCTGGTTATTATTTACAAGATCATTACTTCAAGTTTATTTCCACTTTAACTGTTGTTGGAATGTATATAAATGAATGAATATGGACTTATAATACTGAAGTTGAATTGTGGTTTCATTGAACTTTTACCAAGATTGAACATGAAGCACAAAATTCTGACTCTTAAGTAAGCAAAATTCTTCAAATATATCATTGGCATGTATACAGTACTGCACTTAAAATACTATACAGTATCACAAAAAAATGGACCTGGCCTGAAAGCTTCATTCTACAGCATGAAGGAAAACTTATTATGACAAGTAACATGCAGTTGAAGCCCTTGATTCAACATTCAGTACAGTACTTATTTTCATGGGGCTGTCAAATTTCCAGCAGCAGCACAACAATGAATTTTATCCTCACAGCCTGTGCAAGTCACATTAACTTAAACTGTATTTCGATTACAATCAGATTAAATTAAATTTGTTTTAATTTTTCAATAACATTTGAAATATAAATTCAATACTTTGCGAAACCACATAGCATTATCTCCGTTAGCCGGAATCCCCCATTAGCTGGAACACCTCCAATACCCAGAATTGAAATTGGATTGGAATTTTTCCGGAAAAATTTTCTAAATTTTGAATCGGTGAACGAGTTTCCGAGATTGAAAATCAGGTGCATTTTCTGAGAGAAGTCCAAGAAGGTTCCAAGAAAATCTCTCCATTCTAAGCTTGGGAATAAATTTTCTGGGAGTTCTGAGAGATTGCATCATGCTCCAACGCATCCCCATATGCCAGGCACGTGGGTGGCCTTACTGCTTGGATCACTTGGTCCATTCTCTATTGCTATTGTTCAAGGTAGTTCCCTCGCTAGCTACTGTTTTTGCATACTATTTATGTTGTGTAGTGCTCCACATTGCTGTACCAGAATAAAATAAGCCAAGAACACAGTGTTAAAGCAGTTTTAAGAATGTAAAAAACTATTACACCAATGTATACTGTACTACACTGTACATTCAATAAGCGGGAAACACAGAAACACCTTAGCTTTATGTTTAATCAAGACATCTTTAGGTCATGAGACCCACTAATCCCCCACTCCGACAATGGGTGACCTGACAATTCCATGCAAGTGGAAAATACCAGTCTTCGCTGTAACACATTACTGTACTTCATTCACGAGGCGGCTCGCACGCCTGTATAATATATAGTTTTATTTTTTAAATACTGTATATTTATTAAACCAACATTTTTAGATAACCTATTCAGGATTATTCTAGGAAATAAAAGGTGTTTCTAACTTAATTACAACTGCTTTTCCAGACTCGGGTATCAACATTTCTTTTTTCTTTTTTCATAAAGGAATGGAGTCCCCATAATTATATCTCATGAAAATATTTTGTTTAAGAATCTCTTACTGGAAATGTCTTGTAGAGAATTTATTTAAGATCATTATGGTATCAAATTCATCTAACTCAATTACAACAAATGCTGTGAATAAAAGTTTATGCAGTTTTTTGCTAGCCATTAATATGGGAGTGTGTTTGTCTGAGCAAGATGAGATGCATAGTTTAGAGTCGAGATGAGATGAGTACTTTAGACTCTTGGAAAACTTTCCTCAGTACCCAGAAACATTCTGGGGAAGTGGGCTAGTGCCTGCCTGTGCACAATGCTTAGCTTAGACTTGGAAACTTTTCCCAACACCCAGAAAAATTCTGGGAATATGGGATTTTTCTGTGTTTGAGAAAGTCGTCACATTACCTGGAAATCTCTCATCCCAGAAGAGCTCTGTACCAATTGTTCCGGCTAACGGAGATATCACTGTACTGTATTTTGACAACTTAAGTGCATATACAGTACATATCTAAATTTTTAAACATATTATTGTACAAAACTACATATAGTTTTAAAGTCATAAATATCTAATGCCTAAATTCACTTCAGCAATTAACTTTAAGAAAAAATGCCCCAGCCTGTAAATTTCAATCAAAGCAAACAGTGCATGTACAACATACTCCTCAGTACTCCCCCAGAAAGTCATAAAATCATTCATATTAAAAAATTAATAAAAAATCAGTGTCAATACTTACACTCAAAGTTATGTAACTGTAAATCTATCTAAATAATATATTTCTTACTAGAAATCATAAAATATAAATTCTTTTTGGTATGAAAAATATCTTTGTTCTGAGCCTCTATTTACCTGTATTTCTCTATATATTCTATATTTAGAACAATCATATATCTGAGAACTACGTAGTGCCAAACACTGTAGATACAACCTACAGCCTTCTTATTTAATTTATAAGTAAGAGACTTAAAGAGAGGGAGTCTGGGTGTTCATTCTCTGCAGGGGACAAATATAATGATCAGAGAGACACACAGGGACTCAAAGTTGGTAAATTACCAGTTTTCAAACGTGTATGTATTTATAGGAAAAGAAAATATTTATTGTATCTATGGGCCTTAAAATAAGTGTTTTGACAACTTTGAAACAACTTAAATAAACATAAATTTTAGTACAGTAGAGTATATGTTTAAGTTCAGATCTTAAGTTGATTTTTGGGGGGGCCATAGTCACAATAAAAATGTCTTCTTTACTCAAATACCAACACAATCCAAAAAGAGTATCACATACACTTTAAAACCTTGACATGACCCATTTAATTATTATAAAACTAGGAAAAAGCAATTTATTTTATAGAAATCAAGTGGATGACCTATTCAATAACCAACAACCACTGTAAACATTGAAATAATTGTTAATTAACTGGGAAATAGACAGCTCACCTAATAATGTAGATGGCAATTTAGCCACCAGTAGCTTGAAAATGTGAAGGCTGCCTGTTCTTCCAAGTAATCAACTTCTGTTATTTTTTTCAATATCACTTTCTGTCAACACATGTGTAATCTCAATGCTCACATTTTTTATTTATTTTTTTGTAATATCAAATGAATACAACTGCTTGGGTGGAATAGTGATTACACTGACTAATGTTTTAATCTACTGGTCCATGTTCAACCTCAGGGTAAACCAATCAGGTTACCAAAACAGTTCTGGTCAAACAATAGGGGTAGAAACCCTTGACCTTATGTAACCTTACATCAAACTGACCGGCTACTAGCCTACCAGGGGCCCCACTCCTTGTAAGGAAGAGATGTCTAAAATAAATGCAACTATGAAAAAAAAATCAGCATACTTAACAACAAACCATTATTGCCGCAGCATGAATGACAAACCTAAACATAACCGAGATTTAGCTGCTCCAAGTCACTGTAAAATACTCTCAACAAATACACACTTATATACAGTAAACCCTCGTAAACCCAGACAACTTAGGGGGAAAGACGGGTCCAAACTTGCTGACTGTCTGGACTTTTACCAAGTTTTTTTTGGGGGGGTTCTAGGGGCCACTGTCCACCAAGCAGCCACTCATTAGTCCCCCAAGATCTTTAAATTTGTATTTTAATATGCAATAAATGTCATGTGTGTTTCCTTTCACAATTTTACTTCATTTAAGTCAAATTACAAATTATATATCATATTTTGTTCTATTATTTAATACTGTATATTATATTATTTATGATGAAACATACACCATAAGAGGTTGATCATATGAGAATATAACAATGAATATATAAAAACAAACTGGCAAACAATATAAAATTGTAGTTTGACTTCAAAATAATGGAGACATGAAATGCACCTGGTGTGTGTGACATGGATGATGCAAAAAGCGCTTTTCTTCTGCTTCTTCCCGGGAGGATTACCATCACCATTGTTTGAATTATTTTACCTAACATCTTACCATTTTTCTGTGGCTGAATGTGTGTTGAACTTATAGCTAAACAGTCACAGTGCAGCATTATGGGGGAGTCCATTCTAAGAAAGGGGAAATAAACTACTCACTCATGGTTTGAGAGGAGGAAAGAGGCCAAAGCATTGCTGGCTGGCAGATATTTCAAATGACCGCACACAGCAGGAATTTCATACAACAAATATTAAATGTGTTGGACAAATGTTTCTTGCCTGGAAAAGGTTCGGATTATCTGTAATCTGAACTTATAGGGTCCGGACTTTCGAGGGCTTACTGTATTCTTTCTAGAACATTCAATTCATAACTCGTACTGTCCATCTACCTACTTTGCCAATATGGCTTACACTTAATTTTCCTTCACACATTGTTCTATTCTCCTACATGTACACTCACTGCCATCATTACCCCAACACATCAAAGTCTCTGAGATCAAACAAGAAGCATCACAACATAAACTATGAAGTGGTCCAAACAACTTATTTATTACTGGACTTACAAGTCAATATAAATTTTCTAAATCTACTATCACTTCCACACAACTAAACAAATAATTTTCAAAACTAATTTAACCTCAAGTATAAATCAGTGACAAAATATGACCACAAAACTTGCTTGAATAGAGCTGGGGAATCACAATCCCAAGTTCACTGATGCATTAAGGTACAACTCTATGACAGATTTTTCAGAGCAGCATGAATTCTTACATTAAGGCGGTTTTCAAAGTCATACCCGTGATAGTTGTCTCGAACATCCTCCAAGCACTTTTTGCCTTCGTCTAATGTCTGAAACAGCAAAATTATTAGTGGAAAAAAAAATATATATTTTCTGGACAGAAAGATTTCACATTACCAGACTCAAGTACTGTACAGCAACTTGATTTTACGGCACTTTTTTTCTGATTATTTTCACTATGGAAAGTGAATATTTTTTATATAACTTCCAGTTGTTCATGAAAATAAACAATACATTCTCAATATACAAAAACAGCACTAAAGTTAATTGGAGTTCTTCCAAGTAGCCGAGTTCACCTTTGTATTTCAGAAGGATTGTTGGCTGGTCTGTAATAATATTATATCGTTCAGTTCAGCCTTGTCTTGTTTTATGCTCTGTTGGAACACAGTGTTGTATTGTATTTACTTCTCACTATCTTGAACACTGGTAATACCAAGGTGGGCAGTGGCTACACATGACAGAGACTAGAAACTGTAAGAGATTAATGTGGTGTTTCCAAAAGATGATTTTTATAGAAATTGAACACACCAATTTAACCTTGCATGACATGAAGCATAATGCCAACAATTTTTGGGGGGAGAGGTTGTAGGAAAATTTTATAAGTATACGTACTGTATTGAAAATGCCACTGCTTCACCTACTACCTAAGAAAATCCCTAATGAGATGCATATACTGTACCACTGAACCACCCATGAATTTCATGATAGTTGTCTGGGAGATTTGAGTCTAGAGTATGCTGGTCAAGTTTAAAACTCTCAATCAAACTAGAAATCCATGCACACATAATAAAACCATATTTCTAAATAAGGAAAGCTAACTCTTCTAATAATGTAATTAAATTTTGTACTGTACTGTACTTGTATTAGTTATGATTACACTAGCCTAGAACTTTCACAGCCTATAAGACTTTTTCTCTGGAAGTAAAATGTAACATCCTTAAATGGCAAGTCAGTCTACATTCATGTTAAACCATGTAAAAACATGATTTATAACTTACAGACATGGCATACCGGTAATTGGTGTTTTAATAGCCAAATGAATTTAATTATCTCGAGAAGTCATTAATCCCTGGGCTTTGGTCGGCACCCCCCCCCCATATGCAGGTATATTTGAGAACATTTAAAAACATATAAAAGGCAATGCATGATATAAACAGGAAATAAATAAATTTCCTTACCACAGGTTGGCAACACTGGGGCTAGGAAGAGTCGAGAATGTTTGTGAAGTGGCATGTGTGTGACACAGTAGTAACAGGTAACACTAATTTGTATGCAGTATGAGGTACAGGACACTATTTTATGACTATTTACACTACAGTATTATTAATCTTTATTACTAATCTAGTAATTGATCACAATACTAGACTTGTGCTTGGGGGTTGAGGGCAGGTTGAGACGGAGTAGAAATACATGGTGAAGCGACTCAAGTCCAAGGGCGAGATGCTTACATCACAAAAGCTGAGAAGAGACTGGGAGGCTCTCATGTGTGAGTGAGCAAAAGATAAATACATACTTGGCAACATATTCTAGCCAGGCCCGCCCTTTTTACTCAAATAGGCCAGTGAAAGATCAAAACATCATGTGACATGACCCGAAGCTCTACAGACACATCATAAGACGTGACACAAAGCCTACGGGTTAATCAACATTAATTACTCAAATCTGAATATTTTTAACCCAGATCCTTAACCTGCATTTCAAGAAGTATTACCTTTGAATATTCAAAGCAATAGTCCAACATTGTTGGTGATCGCAACTGCTAGTACGATAATGTGAAATTTTGAAATATCTAAACTCCAAAGAAACCACCAAGAACTTTCTTATTAAGTCTTTTAGCTTCTTTTGCCAGGTTTTTATTTCTTTGAACATTCCTCACAACCTCTCCCCATGTCATTCTTGGCTTACCCCTAGCTCCCCTCCCCTCCACATTCATATGCATACAACTCTTGACCCAATCGGTCTCCTACGTACTCTCCACACACCCAAACCATTTCAGCCTAACTCTGCACGAAACCTGGTATAAGCTCTCACTACCTAGCCACCCTCTTAGCTCTGAACAGGGTTTCCTATCTCTTAACATCATGATACATAACCATCTCGCCAGTCATACCAACTCATTCAAGAATAAATATGTCATCCTCTGTACCTGACCATGTTCCACTGCCATAGAACATCACACTTCTCTTGTCAGTTGCATACAACTTTCCTTTCATGTGAGAAGATCCCCTCACTCTCAGTAAAATCAAAAGCTCCCTAAACTCCTTCCAATTACTTCTAACTCTAGCAACTGAGCTATTCAGCATCACCCCTAACACTGATCATGTTACCCAAGTAGCAGAACTCCTTGACACAATCTAGGGATATATCTCCAATGTCAAATTTTTTCAGCCTAGCTCTGGACACATGATTACCTGACCATACAGCACACTGAAAGTCAGGAACATCCTACAGTCTTCCATTTACACTACTGCACCTCTTTTGTGTCCACCTTCCATACTCACTGTGCATTAATGATTCACTGACAACACACTTTTTAACAGACAGAAAATGGCCATTATCTGCTTTGCACCACAAGTCCTTCACCCAAGTCATGAATTGTTGTTTTTGTTTTCACCACATTCATTTTCATACCCTTTTGAGTCTATTCCCTCCTTTCATTTTCTTCCATTCTACCTTTTCAATACCATCTATTATCAACACAAAGTCATTGTGCATACAAAAACTCCCAGAGCAGACCAGTCTTACATCTTATGATAATACTTCTTAACGCCATGATAAAGTATACAGAAGGGACTCAAAAAACCCTATTTTCACCTAAAATTTCTCACTTTCCTTGCCATTCACATTAGCATGTGTTCTCAAACCACTCAAATAAGATACACCTCAACCTCTAGCTTACTCATTCCCTAGAATTTTGACATTTCATGTAGTTGCCTGGCCATAAATATTGCATCTGTTGTCCCCCTACCTGGCATGAACCCAACTGCAGTACATAAATGTCCCTAATGAATTTCTTAAACAATGTTTCCACAAATTGCATAACCTGATACAACATCTTTAGGGCCCAGGCAGTAGTCTCCACATTCAAGTGCATTATCTTATCCATTGTAATTAATTTATTTACAATCACACTTTTTAGCTAATTCAGCTGAAGCAATATATTCTATCACATTTGCATTAGTCTAATTTGGTCACCTTTTGAAATTTTCAACATTTCTGGAACTATTCCAGAGCCTTTCCATCTTATATTTTGTCAATCACTCTTCTACCAGTACCATTCTATCCTTGGACATGCTTCTTGGTTCTCCCTGTCTCATTCAGCTGACTACTGAAGTATTTTCTCCATGATTTTTTAACTCCTTCTTTATGAACAATCATATTTCCATTGTCATTTCTCATGCACTGCACACCAACCATAACCTGTTTCTACCTATTATTTGCCTTGTTCTTTTGCATGTCTCACCCCTAGCATTTACTTTTGTCAGCTTATCCACAAATATATCATGTTCACTTTTCTTAAGCCTTGTAAACCTGAGCAGGCCTCCAAATACTCTTTGTCATCATCACCCATCTTCCAGGCTGTATATAATCTTATTTTCTACTTGATACTCAGTCCACTTCATCATTCCACCAACATATTACTACATGCCTGGCTGGGTGCTTCTTCCAGCCACATTTAAAAGTCCATGCTTAATGTGGCAACTACACTAACACTGTTGCTGGCTATTTCCACTCTACTCAACTGAGCATCATAAAAAGCTTCCTTTACATTCTATCCCTTTAATTTCTACTCTCTCCTTCTCAGAACATACGCCTTCTTCCTTTCCTTTCTCCATTTTAGCAACATATTACACATAAGCAATCTGTGCTGTAAGGCACATTCTTCCCTTGTTACCACATTTACATCCCAAAAAAGCTTGCCGTTTCATATCCTAACAAGCATGTACCCAATTGGAGTTTTGTCTCATCGACTTCCAAAAACAAAACTACAAAATAAGTGGTCCTCCTTCAATAGTTACCTCATCATTAGCACCAAGGAGGAGGCCTAATTCATACAATGCAAAGGCTGGAACACAATGTTCCTCGGAGTTCAAGAGACCGTGCTGTACACTAAGGCGAAAGTGTTCCACAGCATCATCTGCAGAGCCCAGAGTGTCAAGAATGGCTGCCATGATCAGGTGCCGGAGGCCCTCTTGGTCACCACATTGTCCCATCACTTGGCACTCTAAGTGAAAGAATGACATAGGTGAAATACTGTTGCAATGTCATAAAAATAAAATGTGTAGAATTGTAAATGTTTTAAGAAAGGAAGGAAAAGATACTTAAGACTTAAGTACAAACCTGAAAATGTGATTAAAAAAAAAAAAAAAAAAAAAATTTCAGCTGCCCACTACTGCACACAATACAAAGTGGCAAAACATGCTGAAGAAAACATCAACAAAGAGTAATGACATGGTCCCCTTTGAAATATTAATAAAATAAAAATTTTTTTTATTACAATACAATATACTTTACAGAAAAGTTTACCTCAAGTGACCAGACGTTAGGTTGAAGGTGAAATGCATTAAGTACAGGCACCCTAATTTGTGAGAGGGTTACATTCCTGAAAAACCTCCCCCAAATTGATTTTTTTTGTAAATTTATGCTTATTTGCCCATTAATTCACATTATATAAATGGAGATATGTGCTCTACATGATCTACATAAAAAATCCCATGCTTGACCCCTAATGAGCTACTGCATCATCCTTTATTGACATGACAGGCAAAGCACTGCTGTCACAGATGAGTGAGCTATGATCAATACTTCAAGGAATCTTGGTACCTGCTGTATTCTTTGGTTACTATTTATTTTATTTTGCTTTCACAATGTCTTCAATGAAACACAAGTGATAGAGCTGAGTTTAACATTGATAAAACAGAATGAAAAGAAGTGAAAAAAGTGTATAAAAATGGTTCAAACAATGAAATGTCAGCAGAGGTGACAGTGAGCACTCCTGCCAGGCTGCTCCCACCCTTCACTTTTAAATTCTAATTTTTTCTTTCAACACCCTGCCTTTACTGTACTGGACATGCAGTAATTAGCATTTGAAATTTAAAAATACAAAATAATTTCTTGTATCTAATTTTCCAAATACAGCATACAGTGGTCCCTCGGTTAACGAACGGTTCGATTAACTAAATTTCGGTTAACGAATTAGCTCCCATAAGGATCTTCAATTTGGTTAACGAACAAAACTTCGATTAACGAAATCCTTACGACAAACACGTTTTGTTGTGAGCATCAGCTGATCGTGTTTTTTAATATTTTTGCATTTTTATATTAAAATTACAGTATTGGTCATTCTAAAATTTAGCCATCCAAGCTCTGTCTACATAAAGTTTTTCAACTAATATTTTTGGCTTGATATATGTAACTTTATTCATTTATTGAAACTCATTTACATGCACACACTGTCCTAAGGGCAGAGCTGTAAAATGATACTATCGCATGTTTACATTCAAATTAATCACTATCTTATAAGAATTCCAGCAATGTAAATTATATTCTCCCCGGTCACTTCTATGACATTTTATAAGCAAAAAACAAAAACTCAATCTAAAGAACATAAATAAACAAATAAATACTTCACTAGACTTTTGGTGCCAACTGTCAAACATGTCACTGTCACCTCCCCTTCCTCCCTCCCTCCTCCTCCTCCCAGCCAGGGTTTGGTGGTTATACAGGAGGCTTTAAGTTTTTATCTTATATAATATCACAGACTAAAGTTAGGAGAATGTAATTTTCATTGCTAGAACCCTTGCAAGACAGCGAATAATTTGAATATAAATGTCATATATTTTGCACAAGAGATAAAATTTTTAGTACTTTAGTGGAGTATTGTACATTTTAATAATGTAAAGTTTTTCAACTGTATTTTTGGGTAGATTTACATAAATTTCTTCATTTATTTTTATTCATTTACATGCACACACCATACGAAAATAAACGTAAAAAAAATTAATGACCTAAGTGCAAACCTGTACTGTACATGTACTAAATGATTACGGTACTAAAATTTTTATGTCTAGTGTAAATTATAGCTTGTTTATATTCAAATTAATCACTATCTTACAAGAATCCCAGCAATGTAAAGTATATTCTCCCAGGTCATTTCATTTGCATTTTATAAGAGAAAAGCTTAGTCACTCTTAAGGACTGATAAATAAACACACATTAGACCTTCGGCACCAACTGTCAAACATATCACCTCACCTTACCTCCCGCTCTCTCCCTCCCTCTCCCCCCATCTGCCCAGCCAGGGTTTTAGGCTTACAGTTTTTATCTTATATAATATCACAGACTAAAGTTAGGAGAATATAATTTGCATTGCTGGAATCCTTGCAAGACAGCAAATAATTTAAATGTAAACGTCATATATTCTGCACGAGATAAAAATTATTCACCTGTATCATATTACAGTAGTGATTTAAGAGTTCTAGTGTATATGTACGTATATATATATATAGTGATTTAAGGGCGATTTAGGGGAATGTTAGGAGTGTTTCTGACTTTATGAATTTTTTGGCTTTACTTTGTATGTACTTTTCTGTGAGCTGGAACCTATTACCCAATATCCCATTGAAATAATGGATTCGGTTAATGAACGACTCCATGGAACGAATTGTGTTCGTTAACAGAGGAACCACTTGTATATTACATAAAGAGTAAATGAAGAGAAACTGGACAACCAGACAACTGGCTGTGTGAGTAACCAGTCTTATTTACCTAATGGTCACCCTACTGGAGGTAACCATTCTAAGGGAAGGAGGCCAGTGGCCTGTGTACAATTCCTCCATTATTCTTGATAATTTTGTCAAGGGATACATACTTTGAAGCCCAGTACTCTTCTTAATTTCACAGCTTGGGCTCGCCAACCATTTCACAAATCTACCACCCCGTGTCACTTGTTTTCATGTGAGTTTAGGAAAATAATGACAAATTGAAAGCTTCTTTGTAGACTTAATAACATTATGGTATTTGAAAATTATGAAATAGTGAAATAAGTAAGAACACTGGTACAAAAAAAGCATACGTTGAACATATTTCTTTTTATTAATGTACTCGAGTAATGATTTTTAATCAATATTTTGGGTTTTTTATGCATAAATCAAAGTATGGGGCCTTTTTTGTGGCAGGGAGGGGGAGACTGGGAATTTTCATCAATCAAACCCGAGCAAATCGAGGTCTGCCTGTACAGTATTTAATTCAAAATATGATATACGTAAGAGAATTGTTTGTATTAACTACTTACTGTAATTCTAAAATACAAATAAAACCTCATTATAGTTGTAAAGCTCTCAGGCACAAATACCGTATATATATATATACCCTGTACAGACCCAAGTACTGCACAGTACATGATATGGCCACCCAGATGCCTGTACCTTGATCTTAATCACCTAGTTCTTAATATGATTACTGTTCTTGAGAAAATATCTGTGGAAAGTTAAATAAACAGTACCAATAAAATTAGCTTTATGTAGTTCTAGGTACAATATAATAAATATATTATGAGATGGGGTCAATTGAAGGAACATTCATCTTAAACTAGATTTCACATTTCCAATCCCACACACTGCATTTACCTTCAACCATTTGCAGTCGATGTTGTAAAGAACACGATGAGAGAGCGTTCCACATGTAGAGGAGCTCATAGGCACGTAGGAGACAATAGTTCTTGGTTAAAGTATCACCCTTGGACTGAAATTCATAATAATTAAATAATTACTTTTATAAACCCCGGTAGTACAGGTACACTTATCACAATAAGAAACTCTGGCAACCAAAACCCAAAGTTCATTGTAATTTTGAAGGCAATACAGACAAGAATACTTATACCTGTAGTAGTACCAATTATTCTTCCTTATTTTTTTTGCTATTCATACACAAGCCTTTTACTGTCATGATGCCAAGAGACTTAAACATGTGCTGACCCCATAACAATTCTCATTCAGCAGCTAGTGTATCGGCAAGATATTTGACCTCCAAAGGATTTTTCCATCATTACCAAATACAGTAGGCTCTCACCAATAACGACTTCCACAATAACGTTTTCGACAATAACGGTAAGTTACAATAGATACCCATTTTCGATAATAACATCTGGATTCTCTTGAATAACGGAAATTTCGCGGGAAGCGTCCGAGCGCATCAATGAGAGCGCTTGTTTGCCGCCATGTTGATGACGTAGTTGTCCGCTCCGCCTCACTCTCACACACGCTCAGTGGAATACAACGCTGCGCCCACGTGTGAGATTTTAGCCTCTATAACCAGTGGTTGTTAGGGTCGGTGATCAATAATGGCTTCCGCATTTTTGCCTGTGGGGGCTAGGGGAGGTGGTGGAGGGAGTGATTTGCCACCTGAATGACTGGGAACTTTTAAAGTGAGGAAATTGAACTGTCCTGAGTCTACAGTGCGAAATATTAAGAGGAACTTAGCGGAGACCAAGAAGAGTATTGCGCAGGCTAAAAATATTTCGGTAGTGATGGAAATGCGAGGCGAGCTATGAATGATAAAGGCAATAGAAACAGGTTGTTAGTGATAACAGAGCAAATTCTTGTGAAATGGTTAGCTTATAGAATGAAAGACAGTGCAAGTGTTAGCGGCCCTCAGATACGGAACAAACATCACACCAAGCACCTCAAAAACTCCCCCAAGCTAAGTGTTATATTACTCACTCTTTATTTTGATGATTGAATAGCAATTCTTTTTATTTCAGCTAACAAAAAGTGTTAGGAGGACTTCAAGGGGAAAAAATGGGTGAAATTCTTGTGGCAGCAGCACCAATAAACCCTATTTACATGTATTTTAATGTCACACAAATAACGTTTTCGCTAATAATGGTGTTTTTCAGGCACCTATTAAACGTTATTGGTGAGAGCCTACTGTACTGTAGTGCAGTACAGTACACCCAACAATGTACAGTACTGTACATATTTGGTGTTAAGCATGAAAGTCTAATGAACAGTCCCAGACGAAAGTTCTTGATAGAGTCAAGGTGGAGGGTGCAAGTCCACTTCACCCCACCCTTAATGGAGGGCGGGTCGCTGCCAGTTATGCCACTCGTGAAAAAAAGAAAGAAAATCTTACCAGATTCGTGTCTGAATCTTTCCATATTGCTAAAAAATAAAAAAATGAGGTATGACAAAATTATATTCAATTACAATTATAAAAAAAATAAAAATAATTGATTCTAATTAAAAGAGACAATTGGTGTTCTGCATTACAAAACAAAACAAAAAATCTATTCACTGGGCAGTTTGAGATGAGACTAAACTAAAGTTCTACCAGAATATATCAAAGCAGAGACTTTACTTAATATCTAAACAAGTAGACCTGTTGTACTGTAGTAATAGTTTAGTGTAGGCTACTTAGTAATTAATTTTAGTTGTTGCTTCTACACTGCAGTAACTATAGTAATATATTTAACATTTCTTTCAAAATATAAGAAGGAAAATTCACATATCTTTAAGGTGCAAAATTGGCAAATCATGGGTCCAGGGGTGTCAAATTACTTAACAAACTAAGTACCAAAAGAACATTGTCATATCTAAGTTAACTGTTATTCATAAATATAAAAACAGAAAATTAATTAAAAAACATTTTATATAAATTTTTCAAAGCATGGAAGGTTTTCAAAAATTTTGTTCAAGCTTTCAAGGTTTGAGTAAAATTTTCAAGATAGAGCAAAAAATTTCAAGCAGTGGCCCCACTGGTCGCTGTCAGGTCACTGTCCCCAACACACACACAACAAGCTCCCAAGCAGTTCAACAATCGAGCTCTGATACTTCCATTTCTCAATAAGGATTGGGAAGTATGTCATTGGTTTGTTAATAAGTTAATTAACAGAGTGAGAATACTACAGGGGTAGACCGGAGCTGGTGTGAGACCTTGTGGAATCCAAGCCAAACAGGCTACTCTGAAAAGCAAGGAGATGGACTGGCTACTGACCGAATAATTTGGGTGACAATAACGTGCTATGTATAATTTCTGTAATCTAAAGAATAAAAGTGTTTGATTTTTTTTTTACTGTAAATATTTATAAAGATATTGAGTTTATATAACATTAGCTTGGCAACATTTATGATTATTTATATGAGTACAGGTATAACTAATAATAAAATATGGTCATGCTGCTTTTACCATATTTTTCTCTCCAACCCTAATCAAAGGTGTTGTGACCTACTTCTAGCTCAGATACTTTTATATTACTCATATGTCATCATGTCATCCATGATAGGGATCAAGCCAAGGTTACATGTAGTAGACCCTATGATAAGGCCATATTATCCCCCATATTCATGCTTCGTATACTAAGTACCATTCTGAGGGACAATACAGCTTGGAGGATTCTGATATTGTGAACTCTCAGCCAACAAAACAATTTCTACTATGTCATGATTATCTAATAATGATGTAACCTATTATATTAAATAATGTAAAACTTGATTGGTTAAATTGTTTCATGAGTTTATTAAACAAAAGAATGACATCATTTCCCAATCCTCATTGAGAAATAGAAATATCAGAGCTTGATTGTTGAACGGCGAGTGCATGTTTGTGTGTTGGAAAGGGAATCAAATCTAAGAACCTTTCCTTGCAAAACAAGTGTTCAATCAATAAGCTATAGATTCACTTTTATATAAACTACTGTACATAACAACAGAAGTGTCATATATAAATACTTTAGTTTAATCTTACAGTATTATGTTCCATGAGTTCAACTTACTAATACATTATATACTACATTATATACTACATCATTCAAACAATGTAAAGTTACAGCTAACACCTAAAACTTCTTAATATTTCACCCTCCTATTCTGGGTTCTAATAGATCTGAGTAATCTTTCCTCAATTTTATCCTTACCCTGAGTGCTCGTCGCATCAAGAATGCCTCCAGAGCATGACTGGATCGGCGGACGAGAGTCGGGACTTCATTCATCCCTTTTGCACAATCTTCTAGTCTGCCAGATGCCCCTAAACACACTGAGGAAAGTAAATCTACTGTTATACAGATATACCTTACTAACTATTACCTTGTTAGTCATCATTTTGCATATACAGTACTGTACATGCTGAAGTATTATAGAAAAAATAACACTTTGCCTAATCCCTCTGCTACAGTCACACCAGAATTTTAAAAGTTACACACATTAATAGTTCCTCCATGCATATTTTATTAAAAAATTATTATTACTTTTCATAAATTACTATACTTTCAATACAAACCCACCAAACATTAAAGCCACTTAAATAAAAAGTCTTAACACTGCATACTGGCAACATGTAGTGTACAGCCACACCGAGCTTACATAGGGTATAGGGGTCCCCGGGTTACGAAAGTGTTCTGTTCCTGAGAACTTACAGAACAATGTTTAAAATCCCGCTATATCATAGCCTAAGTCCTTATATACTGTATATCTAAAATCACTTAATTAAAAGAAAAGAAGAAATAGAATGACTAAATGCAGTAGTACAGGTAGTAGGCAGCTACCAAACAGGGAGGTACTACCACCTGGGAAGATATTGGAAGCATAATGTGTTGTCTAATGGTAGACCCTACTGCCATATGGCATCACAAAAATTGTGACCTAGTCCCAGGTTGCTGATCTGACTTTCTGCCTCATTTACACACAATTGCAGGGTCTCAATTGTTTCTCTTACTTTGACAACACAACATACATACAGTATATCATTTCTCACTATTAATTTTTTTTTTCATTTTTGTATTTCTTTATGGTTCTTTACTATCATTATTATTATCAGTGTTGCTATTATTATTTAATTTTTTATTATAAATTATATTTACTATGAACTAATTATTATTATTATTATTACATTTTCGACCCTCAGGCCCCGATGTGGGTCAGTGACATGTGCCAGAGTGGGCTAATCCTGAGAGGAAAAAAAAAAAAAAAAGTAAATGAAAGTAAAAATTAAGTCATCAGGTTAATAAAATACTGTAAATTTAAAGTTTAACCTTGTTCGTATTGGCGGGCGTTTGTAAGTCAGGGACCCCCTGCACGCACCAATACATTTCATTAAAAATCTTAAATATACAGCTGCCTCTTGAATTATGCAAATTTAATTTTGAAATAATGCTGGTGTTAACATTTGTACCATTTTTTAATATATACCCACCAAAAAAGTCAATGCAGGCTGGCAGCTTAGTTAAGCAAGCATTGCCATCGAGGAACAAAATTTGTGGCGTGAAGCGAGATGTACACACGCCGTACTGTAGCATCCAGTAACCATGGTCGGAGTGAGTGATAATTTTTCTCGTGATTGTTCTTGTGGTGTTTTGAATTGTGTGTAACTTTCAGCCCGTATTATGACTTACAAACATCCATCTACATCCAAAGGTGTCACCCAACCCAAGCAGCAGCAAAAGACCATCACTATTGGTGTTAAATTACACATAATAAGCCATAATGAGAGAGAACCATAGCTGATACGGGTCAAGCGGTTGGCCTTAGTGAGAGAACCGTCCAGACAATATGTGACAATGCCACCAAAATTAAGGAAGATGCTAAGTCTGAAACTTCAGTGAGTACCACAAAGACTTTGTATGTACAAATTCCATTATAGAGAAGATGGAGTATATACAAACTGACCAGATTTATATAAAAGTACCTTACTATGTTTTAAGCTCATGTGCTCTTGTTTCATCATTTGTGTTTTATGGCCATTTCCCACAATTGCAGGAGTAAGTGCTTATTAGAGGCAATTCTGGGAATAAAAAAAAAAGACTGAGGGGGGACGGGGGTGCTCTGGGACATACCTCAATAACATGGGTTTCTATGAAAACTTAATGTTTGGTTAACATACATCTGGTTAAAGTAAGGGCTTTCAGGAGTGCATCATATGAGGTGTCGCCTAAAGCAGGGGCATAAGTGCCAAATGTGCGAATTTGAGACAAGGGGTTTCCTATTTTCAATTCTCTCGATTGGTATATGTACTGTACTTACACCCATAGCTTACAGCATTGTATGTGACAGCTGCACGTGTGTGGACCCTTGTGTCTACAAGTGGGGATTTGATTGATTGATTGTGGTAATTACATCCCTGGCACTGCAACAGCTTTGGTCATGTCACCGAATTAAAATAAGGGCTTAAAATACTAAAATCAAATAATACAAGGTAAAAAAGTCACAAATAACACAGAACTTTCGTAATAAAATAAAGTAAACATTAATAGATAAAACTCAAAGCTTGTGTAGGACGGCTTCTTCCACGAAGGAGAGGATGTCCTCTTCCACACTACCCCCCCAAGCACCAAAGAGAGACGGTAAAACCGATCTCCCACCCAGCATTGGAAGAGGTGCTTACCACGAAGATCTCTGAAACTGGGACACTCCACCAGGAGATGTCAAACAGTCAATGGGACCAGGCAGTTGTCACAATGAAGAGAGAGTGCCCTCTCAATTAAAAAACCATGAGTCAGCTATGTGTGCCCAATATGGAGGTGGGCCAAAGCAGTCTCCAGGTGGTGCGACAGTCCCTGACATCCCCAAGCACCCAATGCAGGATGGATTTCGCAGAGCTTGTTTGCTCCAACAGCATCCCACCTATGTTGCCAACTCGAGCAGATGGCAGCTCTCATTACTGGCTTCATATCAGAGGCAGGAATGATGTGCCAAAGGGTGAGAAGCAGCTGCTTTTGCCACAGCATCAGCACGCTCATTTCCCTTCTCCCCCAGATGGGATGGGATCCAGCAAAAACCGACTTTCCGGCCCCGACGATGGATGAGAAACAGCCACTGTAAAATATCTATAACTAAGGAATGTTTTGAGAAGATCAAAGAAGCATACATCAAAATAGTGTTTGATGATTTTTGGAAACCAGGCAACTACAATCTACAGAATGCCTATCTCCACAAGGCAGAGCACTGACTGCATACATTAGTCATGAGCCTCGGTCTCCACATCTACTTCATCAACCTACCAGCAGATAAATAGGCATAGAAGCTCTTGGACCACCTGGACTCCTTTTTGAGGTTAGCAAAGGCACCTTGGGCATGACTCCAGTTCAGCTGCAGCAGGTGGCACCATGCAACCTCATGCAGAGCCAGCAGCTGCAGTTCCCTCTGGGGTGAAACCTGCAGAGCACCACGGTATGACATCAGGGCTCCACCAATGTCACCCTGAGAAAATATATCATCACATTAGCTCTCTTCATTAAATATAGAATTACAGCTGGATTTACACCATCAGTTACTCTACCAGGTAGTACTGTACCTCTATTCACCACAGCATTATACAGTACAGTACAATATTTCTAAATATATTAGAAACATATACAGTATAGTGGGGTCACAATAATTCGCGAAACACAAATTTACGTTGAATTCTTCAGAAACTACTTCAATTTGAGGACACAGTCAATAATCTAAATGTTTGGGGGAGCTTTCACATAATGTACACTATCTCACCTAAATATTGGAAGACACTCAATACCAATGAATGTTGTGTTCACTGTCATCTTATATAAATTAAGGTCTAAGGGATTTACCTGAAGTCGGTGAACTCTACCCCGAAAGAAGAGAAATAGGGCAGACTGTGCATAATTCTGCTGGGCCTCTTGCAAAAGGAGATGAGCTGCCTCAACCCCTGCCCGCACCTTGCTACCATCTAGAGCAAAGAACGGGCGGACGATGGTGTGATACCAGAGTAAGGTCAACCTGTTGAGTAGTGACCATTAATATCACTTGAAAAACAGTTTTTAAGACGGTTATTACACACAATAGCAAAGTGTTCGCTTGAATAAGAACAAATTTGTTCACACAAGTTTTCTATAGAAATAATCCAAATTTGATTTAATATGAAGTGACATTCCAATGTCTTGAGTGGAAGTTCAATCACCATACCACTGCTAAAACACAATATTTCTAACCATATCATCTGCTGTCTAGCTACTGCATTATCAAATGTACCTGATGTAGTCTCGCTATGCAGTGTGTGCTCAACAAAACTTCCTACACTGTACCCAGTGCCTCAACACATTCACTTACCACATATACCCACCGATACTTCATTTTTCATATTTTATAGTTTTATATTATATTTTGTTTATTTCTAAGCCACATTGTAGTATAGTATTGTAATGACTTTCACAGCTTTTATGATTTCATTACAAGTAACATGTAGTTATTAGCCAGGCCTTGGCTATACTGCCTCCACAAATGCCAACGTCTCACACATACACACCATGCTCTTCATTATTCTTGTTTTATATTATATTTCTTTATATCTAAGCACATCAGAGTATCGTAATGATTTTATACAACTTTTATAGTTTCATTACAAGTTAACAACAAATGAGGCTGCAGCTGCTGTACAGTACTTTGTAACTTGTCAAAAATTTAATTTTCTCTACTAATGTCATCACTTTACAGTTTCTCTTTACTCCACCATCACTTGGAGATAATGATAATTAGGAGCCATATTGCTTATTGATTTTTCCCGAAACAGTAAAAAGAGCAAAATGTATATCAACATGGACAGCACAGCTCTTCTCGACTACAGCTTACAAGAGACTGAGGCTGAGGGAGACAGTTCGGGAGATGTGAGAGGAGCCGCACTGTGTTAATGAAGTACAGTGCGTAAATTTCAATTTTTCATTGTTAGCATTATTTTTATTTTGTGCGGTATATAAGTAAATTCACGTTGGAGAAGGGCTTACTGATTAAGATGAGTGAATTATATAGGAATAGAATATGAATCATATTAAGATACTGAACTGTTCAAAACTACGTTTGTTGTGTAACCAGGAGAAAGTGGCGGAGGGAGGAGAGGACAACCCATCACCCCACTCGGCAGCCCTCGCTCCCTTGTATACAATTCACCACAATTCCCATATTATTTAGGTTCATTTGGTGCTGGGTTTATAAAAATATAAAAATAATTAACTTCCCAAAAATATCCCACACTCAACCCCAGGTGAGCTCTTGTGCTGTAGTATATTCTCAGTCATGTTTACAGAGCAGTAACAGCTGATCAGTCCCGTGACTCGCTCTACGTAATAATGTCACAAACAATAACCATTTCTCAAGCACTGTTGTTGTCACTGATCATGAAGGTTGGTGCTTACCACAGGATCAGTACTGAGCACTTTGTAAATAATATTATAGCATATTTATCAGAACTTTATAAATAATATTGTAGTGTATAATGCATCTTCATATGCCCTGGTTTATTCACTGATCAGTTGTCAAAGTGCAAAAGTAGAATTAAGCCATCATGTATCAAATGATAAAAAAAAAAAAATAGAAATTAAAATGTTACAAGACAATGGTTTAGTAGTTCTGTACTGTTAATGTGTTTGTTGTGTAAGTGCCTTGTCACATCACCTCACCTTGCAGTGTCACCTCACCTCACAGTGTTATTATATACAGTACTGTATTATTTACTTTATTAACCCTTAAGCGGGTTATGGTGCTGGTGGCAATACCCCCTCCACCGGGGGTTAAATCGAAAAAATCAAATTTTTCAAAAATAATTTTAACTTTTAAATGATAAAACAATAAAAATAAAGTAAGAAAAACTATATATTGACCCTCAAGAAACTTCTCTGGCCATGCAGAGGAAGGAGGGGCAGAGATAAGGAGACAGTGTTGGTTTGACAGCTGACGTTGGTCCCTCTGCACTTATCGGCTATTTTAGCTTGCTTTGTGTCGAAGTGGCCAATAATGTATGTATTTACTAATCTTAATATTTATTGCTATAAATAATTCATTTAGAGCATTTTATTTGCATAATTTTTCATAAAAAGTGCTTTTAACAATCCCAGTGGGTTGCCAGTCTGCCTGGCTGTCTTTGTATCTGGTACAGCAAGTAATGCATAAAATAATTCCACAAATAAAAGCATTTATAACAATCATAGCATTGTTTTACAGTAATACTACACTACAATGCAACTACACAACTTTTATCAATATTACTTTTTATACAACATGATAAAACAGACAAGCAATGAAAATGAAACAAACAAAATAGGTAATTATGTTCAGGAGCTTCCTTTGGCTGATGTGGGTGAGGCAAATAGTCACACTGGAACCTGATAACCCACGCTGGGCATTAAACAGTGGCTGGAATAGGCGCGTGTTCGGAACGTCACCGGGCGCCTGGTAAGACGTTCTGGAATGTCACTCGGGGCCTAAGGGTTAATACTTTATGTACATTTAGAAAATATTTGTTTACACAGTAATTATAGATTATTTTATGTGGCAGCTAAGGCAAAGCACAAAAATTGACCAGAAAACGAATGAATACTCTAACACAATAATTAAAAATAATAGAATACAATAAACCGCTTCCAATTCGGCGGGTTTATGATTCACGATTTCAACGATTCACGGTAATCAGCTGGTGGCTCGGGTGACTAGCATGCAAGCCTTCTCCTCAGCACAACGAGTCATCCCACACCGCGGCGTCTCATCCCGCTCTGTTGCCCTCACCCAGTACCCGTGACCTAGCATCCCGTGTCATACGGTCATTTCTGCTATAGCGCGTGTTTTATCAAAGTGAATTGGCTATAACACGATTGATGAATAGAAGAACGACATTTGTAAAACGCGAACACGTGGCTGTAACACGAATTCCACTCGGACGTTTAAGTGTACTGTCGCAGCGGGGGTTATGCAGTGTTTACAGTTCATGTTCGACATCACGTGTTCAATTGATTCATGTGTTTGTTTGTGAAGTGAACCACAGCCATCCACTTCTGGAATTAGACATTTTTCGTCCCAACCAAGCAACAAAAACTGCACCTGATGATGACGATGACAACTCTCAACTCCTGTCTGCTGTCCTCAACCTCAAAATCACCCTTCTCCCCATCAAGTTATATTCATATTTTTCAAGGTAAAGTGTTACATTTATTTACAGTAAACCCTCGCTTTCACATGATTTCTTTATGCGTTTCCACGTTCTGTGGTCCCCTTCGAACACGAATGCTCACTTTGCAACGATTGTGTACTTGCCCTTTTACCCTGAAAGCGGTCCTCTCGCGCGCGCCATTTTGAATCAAACTCCGCCATCTCTCCCGCCATGTTGGGTAGGCAGTGCGAAGTAGGTTGCGCGAAATTATGTCTTTGTTGCGTTATCGGTGAAGTCATATGGCGTATCGGACTGTGGTTGGGCCAAAGCATCCTTACCTCCCTCCCGCTAGCTGTGATTGGTTTAATGTACTAGTGGCGTGCCCCTTGGCAGAGGCGTTCAAGCCCCCTTGACCTACCCGCGTCAATTACACCCCTCCCGACTATAAAATTGTATATGGGTATCCATTGTTCCATAAGTGGCTTCCACGGTTACCACCACCACAAACAAACCTTACTTACCTGGACCCAGCGCCTAAGCCAAAGAGGATCTGACATTCCTTAAGCTGAGAATTAAGTACAAAGATCATACTTGGAAGGAACAAGACAGGTTGATCTCATGGCGCCAGCATGGTGTTAACGAATCAACTATATCAGGACAATTAAGAAGGATGCCTTCAAACTCTACAGGTGCTTCTATGATCAAGTACTGCCACAACCAGGTGCTTCTCAAAAGGCGGAAAAATTGCTTGTGAGCTACTTGGTTCGTCAGGCATGACCAGACACATGGCGGTGGACACGAGCTCAGTTAAGAATGCGCGCGTGAACTGTATGCTGCAGTGTCACGTAAGATGGGAGTGCAGAGCCCAAAACCCTTTAATGCTTCTCTGGGTGGTTGCAGAGGTTTAAGAAGAGGAACAGATCACCAATATATTAACATTGGTGGTGAAAACTAGTGCTGACGTGTTGCGGCTAGGGAATTTCCTCCGTTTTTTATGTGAGATTATGGAGGAAGGACCATGCACCGACGACCAGGTGTTGAACATGGACAAATCTGAACTTTTTGGAAAAGCTACCTTCCAGACCTTCTTGTGAAGAATGCCAGCAAGTGTCAGGGCGGAGGATTTGCAGAAGAAAGGAAGCGCATCACCGTTCTGTTTCTGTTTACTACCAATGCCTCCGGTGCCTGTAAGCTCAAGTTATCGATTGATCCACACAGCACTTAAGCTGCCTTCAAAGAACATGGACATGACCAAAGCTAAATGTCCACTGGCTGACCCATGCATTAAGGCGTGGATGTTCTCTCTGTCCCTCCTGGTTTGATGTCTGTTTCGTTCCTGACGTTAAGAATTCTGTGAGCAACACAATGTTTCATTCAAGATTTTGTTGCTGCTTGACAAAGCACCAGGACACTAGCCCTTACTGTTAGATCGTCACCCCAAGCGTAAAGTGGTCTTCCTTCCTCCCAACACTACGTCTATAATACAGCCCATGGACCAGAATTGATCTGTAATGTAAGCTGCATTCTCTGCCAAGGAAATTTAAGCTCCTGAGCGACTACACCAACACCAAGGAAGAGTTGCATAACCTGGTGACACCGATGGAAGAGCGAAGACTGACGAACAACAGTTGGCAGAGCAAGAAGTACTGTGAAACAATTTTGGAGAACATTCAACGTCAAGCTGTGGACTTCTTGGTGGAGGCATGGATCAGCTGCCTACAGCAACTGTTCGTCATGCATGGAACATGTGGATGCAAAGGTATTCCAGGTGGGAGGCAGAGTAAATCTGTGACTGGTGAGGTTCAGACTGTTGCAGTAGCAGTGGACCTTGCCAGAGAAGCTCTTGCCAGTGTTACAGCTGCAGGCTTCTCCGAGACCACCAACGACGACATCCTGGAAGTGATAAAGGGATCCTGATGTGACTACCGACAAGATGCTAGATGATGATGGCGTCAGTGAAAGAGGCAGGTGGTGCGTCATCCCAGAAGAGCATAGGGTATCATAGTAATGTAAGGGATGCCATCGAGTGTATTGAAAGTCAGCTCCTCCTTTCAATGACCTGGCCGATAGCTTGATGCGAAATCTTCACTACCCAGCAGTTGCAGACTATGGGCCCATCAAAGGTGTATCCACACGCGACAACATAAACACCAGCCGTCAGCAAAGCATAACTGAGTTAACCGCCGCAACCCACTTTAGCCAGCCCAAGCCAGTGATAGTGACAGAGACCAGTGATGATGACTTTGAGGATTTGTCAGGGGAGGCACTACTAAGTGTGGATATTGTGTGAGACTCACCCAGGGGCCTTGCCCTCTGCCTCGGAACCAGCCTCTCCGTTCCACGTCACGCCGACCCATCTCTTCTACTAAACGTAAGTGTTAAGCCTAACTTGTTTTCTAACCTAACCTACAGTATATTATTCTCTTATTGATTGTTCCCTTCTATATTATGTGTGTCAATACCATCATAAAGTTAAGATATTATTTTTACTAAAGCAACGTACGATTGTGTCGGAAAAAGTGGAGTTTGGGGTCGGCCCGGTCTCTATTTCAATTAATCCCATATGTTATGTTGTTCACTTTATGCTGGCGCCGTGGGTTCAATTGATTGCGAAAGTGAGGGTTCACTGTATTTCATTATTAGATATGAATGTAAAATTTATTTAGACTGTGCTATCCTTTGTGTTAGGCTAACTACTAAATTTTTCGATTTCGAGTAATCTGCTCCTAACCCTATTTTCTCCATAAGCCGTTATTTCTATTCTCGAATTTCTACTTTCTCCATAAGCCGTTATTTCTATTCTTGAATTTCACAACGCGAGGTTTTACAAGAACACAACTATCGCGTTGTAGCAGAACTGACTGTACTCTCCTTCATGTTTCTTTAAAAATGATCCTGAAAAGACTGCCTAGTGCCAGTGGAATGAAACAGAAAAGGCAAAGTCAGTGATGACACTGGCAAAAATTTATTATTAGACAAATTAAAAGGGGCGAGTGCTGCCGCGGTTGGCGGTTGTTTGGTGTGAACGAATCCAAGTGCAGTACATTAGAAAGAATGAAAAAGCAATGCATTGATTCTGTTCAAGCGAGTGCTCCTGCAAGTGCTAAAGTGGCTTAGGTTGTTCGAGACAAGAACATTGCAAAACTGAGAGCACTGAACATTTGGATTGAGGACCAGCACCGAAAAATGTTCCGATCGACGGCCAATGTATTCGTGAAAAGGCTAAAAGTCTTTATGCTCATTTTTATGAAGTCAACAGGTGGTGAAGGGGCTAGTGGGTGACCAAACCAACTTTAGTGCCAGTAAAGGTTGGTTTGATTTTAAGAAAAGATTCTTGCTCCATTATGTTAAGCTGACTGGGGAGGCAGCATCAGCTGACCACACAGCTGCAGGTGCATTCGCCAAGCTGAAGAACATAATAGACGAAAGGGAAAGGCTAAAGACCAGAGCAAGAGTTTAATGCTGATGAATCTGGTTTATATTGTAAGAAAATGCCTGGTAGAACCTACATATACAAGCAGGAGAGGTGTGCCTCAGGGTTTAAGGCAGCCAAGGACAGATTGACGCCACCTTCTGTGGCAATGCAGCTGGCCACATGATCAAGCCTGGCTTGCTTTACCGCTCAGCAAACCCTAGGGCTTTAAAGGATAAAAACAAGAACCTTTGCAAGCGTTTGGCAGTGAAACAAAAGGAATGGTTAACTGTGCAAGCATTCCGGACTGGTTCCATAAATGCCTCATCCTGGAAGTGGAAAAATCCTTGCTTCAAGATGTAATTTAGGTGTTATTGATGACAGATAATACACCAGGCCACCCAGAAAGTTTGCAATTTAGCCATCCAAGTATAGAGGTGGTGTTCCTATCCTCCCTAACACCACTGCTCTTATCCAGCACCTTCAAGGCGTATTATACACGTCGCTCTTCTGGTGCATCCGTAATGACCTGACCTTGATGGTACCAAGTGTTGGAAGGAGTACAACATTGCAGACTGCATTACCAACATCAGTGAATCATTCAGTGAACTTAAACCAGAGACAGTGAATGCTTGTTGGCACAACTTATGGCCTGAGTGTGTTAATAACTTTCAGGGTTTCCATCCATAGTAAAGGATGTGAATGACATTATGAGTGTTGCACGTCAGTTCGGTGGTAAGGGTTTGTGGACATGGCTGCTGAAGACATGGAAGAGCTGATTGATGGATATGGAGAGGAACTTACAGAACAGGATTTGGAAAAGTTGGTAAAAAGTGCCGAGGAAGATGAGGAGGAAGATATTATGGAATTACAACAAGAAGGTTGGAGCTTGGAAAATTTTGGTGAACTATTTCGTCGGGTAAAGATGGTGAATGATTTCATTGTTGACCACGACCCTTCCATAGAATGCAGCCTTAAGATGGTCAGAGGAATCAACCAGGTAATGTTTTGCTATCAGGAAAAGTTTAAAGAACTCAAAGCAGAGCAACTACCAATCACCATGTTTTTTAGAAAGAATCAACTAGTACTACCACTGGCGCTCCACCCTCCTCCTCCCAGTTACCACTACTCACCACCCACATCTCGCACCACCAACCACCATTGCAACACCCTCTTCCACCAGTGATCTTGATGATCCACCTATGCTTCATTAACCAGATGTCTCCCTATGTACAGTGCACCACTTCATCAAGTTCCAGACTTCCACCTACTTATGTAAGTACAGTACAGTACTGACTTAAGTTTCTCATACACAGTATAGGTATACCTGTATATTAGTGCACTAAGGTATTATATAAGTGGCTATTTCGCCAATTGAGCCATTTTGGGAAACCTATCCCTTGCGAATGGCAAGGGTTTACTGTACTGTCAAAATGCTGCGAACTCTGTTAATCGGATTTTCGGTTATTTCAAGTGACCCAGAGCCCTTTTTGTCAAATTAGCAGGGTTGTAGTGTGTATAGGTACAGTACAGGAAAAACAGAAAATATTGAGATCCAAACACACTCAGCATGCTAGTAAATAACATTACAGTGGTCCTTGGTTATGGAACGTAATTCGTTCCAGATGGATTCGTTAACGAAAAAAAATTTTGTTAACCGAATCCATTATTTCAATGGGATATTGGGTAATGGTTCCAGCTCACAGAAAAGTACATACAGATTAAAGCCAAAAACACAAAGTCAGAAACACTCCAAAAATTCCCTAATCATGTAAATCACTATACAGTGGTCCTCGGAACGAAATCCTTACGAAAATAACGTTTGTTGTGAGCATCAGTTGGTCAGCTTATGGCCCAGTCTGCCAATTCAGTAATCTGTTCTAAGTTTAAATTCGTTTCAAAGGATTAAACATCATTTAAGTTGAGCTTTTAACATTTTGAATGTTTTATATTAAAATTATTAGTCATTTTAACATTAAATATTGATAATATATGCAGTACTGTAGAGGGAACTAACATACCAGTTTGATATGAGAATCAGCTGATGGCCCAGTCTGCCAATTCAGGAATCTGTTCCAAGTTTAAATTGTTTCCAATGGTTAAATATCAATAAATTTAATCTTTTATTATTTTTTTAATGTTTAATATTAAAATTATTCGTCATTTCAACATGTATT